TTTAATTCGTGCTTCCATAAAATCTTCACAAATGGAATCTCCGTAATTCGTAGCTTTTTTAATTTCAAAGTCAAGTATCCTCTCAGATTTTTCTATACGAATCAAATCAAGCTTTATCGCCACTAAATTTGCAAAAATTTTATTAGACCCGTTAGCAATAAACTTCTTAAATGAAGATACATGAAAAATATTACATAGTTCCTACATTTGCACTAGTAAAATTAATTTATCAGCCACGTGTCCAATCTTTTCCACAATCACATATGGACCTACATATTTGAGGCTCAATTCTCATGTCTTCTCAAGTCTTTGCACACCCTTCAAATGACTGATTTTAATAAAAATAAACTCTCTGCCTTCAAATTTTATAGGTTTGTGCTTAGCATCAGAATATTTTTTTCTGACTGTCATGTATTCCCCTTAATCTGTCTTTGATCAGTCTAATTTTTTCAGTAACATTATCAACCAAGTTAGCTCTAATAACATTTCGTTCACCTGTTTCGGCCCAACAAAGAGGTGTTCTACACTTTTTTCCATACAAAATTTCATACGGGATCATTCCAATAATAGTCTGGTAACTATTATTGTAAGCAAATTCTTTCAAGGGCATATGAGATTCACATCCTTTATCAAAGTCAATGACACATAACATTAATAATTACTCCAAACTCTGAATAGCCCTTTCTGACTGGCCATCTATATGAAAGTGAAAGTTGTGCTAAAAGTCAATCTTTCGCCCAATGCCTCATGACTCTCCTTCCAAAATCTAAAATAAAATGTCAATTTTGTCTAAAATAATGGACTTTGGCACTCCATGCAACCTTACAATTTAATCCATATATAACCCGGTTAACTTCTCAACAAAATATGTTTGTTTAATGGGCAAGAAATGAATAGTCTTAGCCAATCTATCAACAATAACTCAAATAACATCGAGTCCCTATCTTGACCTAGGCACACAAAGTCAATATCAATCTTCTCTTATTTCAACTTTGGAATAAGTAAAGACTATAACTGACCTCCAGGACACTAATATTTTGCCTTCACTAGCTGGCATGTAGGACACAGCCACCCAATTAGCATGCCTCCTCTAGAATTTTCCTTCTCAAATTATCAATATATGGAATATATATTTTATCTTTATATCTCAATAGTTCATTCATATATAACATATATTTTCCAAATTTCCAATCTTTACCAGATCTAAAATCTTCTGAACAGCAATATCCAAATCAGTGAATCTTTGATTCTGCTGCTCTTCAAAGCGGACTGCACAAATAACTGATTCAATTGTACCATATTATCATCACCATAAATAATCCAAATCCTTAATTAATTGCTCATGTTAAGTGAATAAACAGTTCCAATTACTTGAAGCTTTCCTACTTAGTGCATCTATCACCATATTTGCTTTTCTTGGGTGATACTGTATATCCAAATCATTGTCTTTAATGTATTTCAATCATCTTCTTTATCTCAAATTCAGCTCTAAGTAAAGATGTACCTCAAATTTTTGTGATCAGTAAATACCTCACATCTAACTATATACAAGTACTACCTCCAAATCTCAAGTGCAAATAAAACTACAACGAACTCAAGTCATGGTTATCAAAGTTCGCTTTAGGATTCTTCAATTGCATTGAAGCATAACAATGGCCCCTCCATGTTGCATAAGTAAACAACCGAAACCTTTGAAAAATGCATCACTGAAAATATAAAACTCATCTGACCCTAAAGGAATAGTCGGCACTTGATCACTCATCAAGCAAAAATTTAACTTCTGAAAAGACTCTTCACAACAATCAGTCTAATCAAACGTTGCTGATTTTTGTGTTAAAGGCATAGTTATCTAAGAAAATCATTTTACAAACCTTTTATAATAATCGATCAGACCTAGAAAACTCCTGCCCTCAATAACATTAGTAGGTTTGGTCAATCTGCAATTGCATTTATCTTATTAAGATCCATAGATATGTCATCTCCATTGATAATATGCCTAAAAAAACAACACTTGCAAGCCAAAATTTATATTTATAAAATTTGACATATAATTTATTCTCCATCAAAACCTATAGATTAGCATGCAAATGATCTCTATGGCTAGTTTCATATCTCAAATACACTAGAATATCATCTATGAATATAATGACAATTAAATCAAAAAATTGTCGGAAAACATTATTCATCGTATCCATAAAAACTACTTTAACATTATTTAGTCAAAACGACGTCGCCACAACTTCATAGTGCTCATATCTGATCCTGAAAGTTGTCTTCGTTATATCTCCTTCTTTAATCCTCAGCTCATGATAGTCTTACCTTAGATCAATCTTTGAAAATATAAACACCCTTCCACTTGATCAGACAAATCATCAATCCTTAGTATTGGATATTTAGTTTTAATAGCGAATTTATTCAACTCCCTATAGTCAATTTACATTTTGATGCTCTCATCAATTTTCACAAATATCACTGGAGCTCCCCAATATGCGGTGCTAGGCTAGTGACCCCTAATATAGCAATTCCTGCATTTGTTTTTCCACTCTCGTAACTCCTCAACATTCATTCAATATGGTGCCTTGGATATTGGCTCAAAACCTAATAATAGCTCAAAAGTAAAATCTATTTCCCTCGTTGGTGGTAGTATTGGTATACCATCCAAGAAGACATTTAGATATTCCCTTACCGCTAAAATATCACCCAAATATTTTACTTAGTGGCATCTATCACCAAAGCAAAAAAATCTTGGTTTTCACGATTCAACAATTTGAAAGCTTTAAAGTAAGTAATTATCATGGATACCAACCCTCTATCGCCACAGAAATTGACTTCTTCCCATTTTGACAATCTTTTCATTATAATCAATTATGACAAAATATTCAAACTAATCCATGTCTAAAATTACCTCAAATTCCTCTAAGAGTAACAAAATTAATTGTACATCAAAATACTTTCCACCAATCTTGAGCTTCATCTCACATAATTGATTAACCTTCATAAAAGTATCATTTAGCATTCTAATAAATAATATCATGGGCATTAAGGTATTATTCAATTGCATTAATTTAATTAATTTCTCAGCTATAATAGAATGTGACGTTCTAGTATCAAACAATATTAGTATTGGTCTATTCTAAAGGTATATGATACCTATTATATTAAAACAATTGCATTGAATATTTAGGGTTAACTTATTAATGATTTAAGCTCTTACAGGATGTTATAAGTGACATAACATGAGTTCTATTATAATCAAAAATGCACTTGGTTTTAAATTTCTTAAATGTAAAACATCCGTGAATGTGCATAAATATTGGACTAAACATTCTGCTAGTTCTGACCTTGATTTGTCATTGACCTAGAAGACTCGATTGCTCTCGACCTACTAAAACTTTTCTAAGGTGGTGCAGCACTGCACCTAGAATCTGTTGGAGCCTTCTTTCCCAAGTTAGGGCAATTCCTCATCATGCGTCCTAGTTGGCGGCACCAAAAATAGATGATGAATCTAGAAAGATGGTCATCCATGTGAGATCTTCCACACCAATCATGTTTTTTGCCTTCAGTCTGGCTGTCAACAGTGCTAAATCTGGCCTTCTTAGCATTTATATTTACTGACAGGAATGACTGATTGCCCTGAAAGCCCTGAAGAAACATAGATCCTTCTGAATTCCTCTTTTTCTAAAAGTCCCTCCTCTGGATACCCTCTAAATCCAGTTCAATCCTCCTCGATCCCAAGTGGATTTAGTGACTGTCTAATCATATCCTTTACCATTGTTGAAAGATCATCTTATACCAACCTAATAAACTTTTCCTGCAACTGTCAGGAGAAAGATAATGGTACAAACCAATCTTTAAAAGTTGCTACAAACTCTTCTCCCTACACCAAGTGATAGGTTCTATAACAATTTTTCCTACAGCTGTCCTTATAACCATCTCTCAGCTTATCCCTCAAAGGAAAAAACGGTAAGTATAATCATTTTCTCTAAGGACAAGACATCACATGTATAGTTTTCTCCACTCTCATTAGTCGGTTCTTAGTATTCACTCGACTTCCTTCTCAAGGAAAGATGTGACCTCATATCCTAAAATAGCTTCAAATATTTGTCCATCTAGCCTCCCCTATTAGAACTGACCTGATATTGAGAATTTCAAACCTGAGTCACTGTAGTTATCGTTAGAAACTGGGACGGATGGAGTCATTGCAGTGGATTCAGTAGCACAATTCAAGGCGTGTCACCAAATTTATTTTTTTTTCTTAATACTCATTTGAAAATGATCTAAAAGTTAAGGTTAAATTTAAAACTATATTACAGAAAAACCAATTTTATGCCCCAAATCTAGAACTCACATATCTATTGCAAAATTTCATTAGCCATCATTCTCTTCTCACCACCTTTTTCAGTCTATCAATGATCCATCTCGAATCCTTATTCTGCTCAATAGCTTGATGCCCAATAGCTAAAGTTTATGCAAGATATTCTAAACTTTATGAGGCTCAAGCTCAAATCACAATCGGCCACAATACTTAATTAACCATGCCAAAAAGAAGAAAACAGATAGTTCGAGCTCCTCACATTTACACCTAAACAATACACCAAGCTTGAAAAGATATGGCTTATATTTCATTGTTATCAGATGGGTTTTCTTGATAAGTCACTTTGGTTTTGAAACTGCTCCTAATTTTCATTCCATGCAGGAATTGATGAATGGATGTGGTTAATACATGTGTTTGATATGGTTAATTCTGGTTTGATGTTGTGTGGTAGGCGTATGGAATAAAGGGTGGATCGATTGGCATTATATCTAAAAGCCAATGCAAACTATTTTCTGAGTTAGTGATCTATGTAACATTGAGAACTTTCAGGTAAACTTTTGTCAGCTGAATTTATTTCAGGAAAAAAAAAAGAACCAGCTAGCACCGTTCAAAACTTCATATTAAAGAAAACATTGTAATTCAATGCCTCTCTTTTCTGAGTGTACGAGGGGGGTGCGATCCTGACCTGGAATTTTCACGCCTCGTCTTCGATAAATCTCTCCCATGGTAAAAAATTTAACAATCTCCTCAAGCTCAAGCCTAATGTTTCCAAGCCCAGCAACATCCTTAAACTTCACATCAACGCCTCTCTCCATGTACTGGGGCAGACGATTACTATGAGCCCTTCGTACTCTAGCACCAGACAGCATGAACTTCTTCGCCATCTGAAGATAAGGGTTTTGCTCTCCTTCTCTATCTTCAACTTCATCCTCCCCAGCATCCTGAAGTCCTGCCATCTCCTTCTCTAACTGCCTCAACTTCTTCCTTTCCTCTGCTTCTGCCTTCTCAATCTTTAACCTATCGTCAAAATCTTTCTTTTGCTTCCTATAGCTAAGCACAACAGTTCGATAAAAGACAAAAAAAAAAAGCAATCCTAGCACAGTTGCAACATTCTGGTCCCTGGCCAAGCTAGCCCACTTCTGTGCCATGGTATGGTAATTTTTCCTAGCCTGTTTAAGGGATTCCTTGTACTTAACCTTCTTTTCTTCCAATCTCCTCTTTCTGTCCTCCAATTTCTTCTGGTTTCTAAGAGTCTTCTCCATATTTTGCCTCTCTTGCCTCACGGTTGCCAGCTCGGCTTTCTTCCTTGCCACCAGCTCCTTCCGCTCTCTCTCAAGCTCAAGCGCCCGCTTGGACTTCGGCTTTGACTTTATAAACGAGAATATGAAAGCTGGGACCTTTGACAAAAAACCTAGATAAGGTGAAGGAAGTTCCGGCTTCTTCACTGGGGGTGTATACGCATTGATGCACAGAGAATTCAGCTGCAAAGCGTCCCAAGTTTCCCAGAACTTGGAATCTCCCTCGATTGTGGGGAGGACTGTTCTCACAACTTTAGAATCGTCCAAAACCGCAAGAACAGGATCCGCTCTTTGCCTAAGAGCTGCAGTAGGAAGCTTAACGATGTGCCTAAGCTTGCCCTCTTCTCTGAGCTTTAGCAGATCAGTGTATGGAATCCTTTTGCTGACGGTCGGGAGTCCGCGAGACCAAAGCTTGACCTCGTCAGGAGAGATCGTCTCTGTGGCTCTCTTGGGCGTCCGCCTCTTATCAGCTACCTTGGCATGAGCGAGAGGTTGCGGGATTGAAGAGGAAATTACGGTTAGAGTTACCGAGAACTGGAGCAACCTGGCAGACTTTAAGCTCTTTTCCTTCTCTTCGGGATCCTTTGATCGTTTACATTTGCACGGAGTGATCGACGAAAATGAGAAGGAAGGGATCAGTCTTCGATTGCGATGGAGTATGGGACTCGGACTGAAAGCAAGCAAGAATTCAGAGCGGAGACTGATAAGCTCCATGAACACGTCGAGACAGCAGGCCGGTGTTAGCGACGATGTTGTCGAATGTAAAGAGGCGAGGCAAAAGCGGGTAGTTGTGGGGTACTTCGGCGGGTAATTCTTTCGGGGTTTGGTGCGAACCCCGATAGTCGGCTGTATGGCGCGGCTCAGGTTCGTGGATACGGCTTTTACCACATGCCCCTTTTATCTTGCCCTAATATGACTAATGTGATTGCTCTAATTCGTCACAGCAATTAATCTCGTGAAAAATAGCATCCCACGATCTCCTCCGCTCTTGTTCTACTTGCCCTTCTCTTCCTCCTCTTGTGATCTCCTCACAGCAGCAGTAAGAAATTTTGGCTCCTGCTCCTTAGATCTGTTGTGTATGTATGGTGGGTTATTTGGGGTACTATTGCGTTTATCTTTCTTGTTGTGAATAACAAATTGGAGGGTTGTTGTGAATCTTGCGATGTAGCTTCAATTTACTGATGGTCTCTTTGGGGTGCTGTTGCGTTCGTATATGTTGTTGTGAATAACAAATTGAGGTAGTGCCACGTCTACCCCCGAAAGGCACGAGCAATATATTTGTCCGGCTTACTGTGTTCAATGATATATTGTTGCATCATAGGTGACATGAACGTGAGCTACACTTGCACATATATATGCATATGTGTGTGTGTGTGTGTTTGTGTGTGTGTGTGTGTGTGGAGGCATCATTATACTTGGACATGAAGCTGCTTATAGTTTGTGTGTGTGTGTGGTGGAGGCATCATTATACTTGGACATGAAGCTGCTTATATTATAGTGTTTAGTTTACCGTATTGTGAGGTTTACCTGGAGCAAACTTGATGCTTGATGGCCATATTGGGCCTCCATTTCTTGTCAATTGGAATAGACGATTGTCACTCGATATATATAGCATCTATACCTCACTTGCCTATTGCCAGGGACTTTAATAGAAAGTCCACTTTGAGAGACTACTCAACCTAATTTTTTAATTTGATTTTAGTTTAGATTTACTGCTACAGCTCTTCATAAGTTTTATATGAGATAATATTTGTTCGGTTTATCTAGTCAAACATTTTCCTCTAACTTTTTTATTGTGAAGTCTCATTTTGATAAGGAGCATCCATATTTGCTCATTTTTTTTCCTTCAACAAGTTCCTTGACAACAAAGTTCGACCAGAGAGACATTTATCAGCTCGATAAGTTTTTAACATAAATTATGCTTATGCTACTCATATAATCCATTACTAATTATTGCAATCTTCAATGATATTAATTCATGCCAATTTTATCGAGGGGTTTTGGTGGCTTTTGTGGGATTTGAGTTTATTAAAATCATAAAGCCAATCCAAGATTTCATCTAGTTCCAGTGAACTCATTGTTGTACCTATTGCCATTGATTTCACATTTATTAGCATGGAAGCAATGTTTATGTTAGCACAAATAAGTTACATTGTTGATAGGTTCTTTATGAAAGCCATGAAAGCATATGGGTATTTGTATTACCTGCATGGATGTTTGAAATAAGTTTTACAATAGACTTGACACGTCCAAGAAAAGATATGTGCCAATATATGTAATTGATGGAGCCCAGATGACTTTGAGGGTCTTTTCTGGATATCTTGATGCTCGAAATTCTACAAAAGAGGGGGGAGGGGGAGGGTGGTGGGGGGAACTCCCTTTTCCTCCTCCAGTTGTATTGTCGATGCAGTGTTGATGATTTCTTCTTTCATTATAGTGTATGTGGCCAAATTCGGTGGTATGTATGCGAATGCCATAACAGTTTTTTTAATCCTTTAATCTGTTCGTTTTGGCAAGGACTAATTTTTTATTTGAATCTATGTATCTTCTTCTTGATTACATTAATAAAGATGTTTGATTCCTTTTCTGTGGATGTAGGTCACTTTGACTGAACCACGTAAATTCCTTAACATCCTTATTTACATTTCAATTTTGTTATTCAAATTGTTTGTTTTAATAAATCTGATGCAGGAACCATAACTGTTTTGCTATTTTATCTTCTTTGTTGTGCCAGTTGATTTACATTACGCCCTCTCCAATTTTCTAAATTATGTTACTATTATCTTTCATTGCTTTGTTGTATCATAGTATTAAAATGGCTAATAGACTAAAGAGCTTGATGCACCGGCACTATAGGAAAGAGAAACTAAATTAATCTTTTGTGACTTTTGCTTGAAGGAAATTGAAAAGGGCAATAAACCTACGACCTTTTTCAAAAAAGAAGGGCGGCAAAATATTATAAAAAATTTCAAGGAAAGTACAGATAGGGAGTATGATAGGCTGCAGATGAAAAATAAGTGAGATCAACTGAAGAATAATTGGAAAAATTGGAAGGATTTGAAATGAGGATCAACAGGTTTAGGTTGGGATCCGGTGAAGCGAACCCTTGATGCGCCGAAGGAGTGGTAGGCAGAAAGACTTGCAGTGAGGAATTTTTCATTATGTATAATTTGATTGATATCTTTTTTTTTTTTCAACATAACTGAAGTGTTTAGTGTTTTATTGCAGATGGTGCTAGCAGCGAAAAAATTCAAATTTTGTGGACTTGAACCCGAGTTCGAGGAGAAGTTAGACCAGATGTTTGGGAGTGTCATCGCAACAGGAAAATATGTCTGCACTTCAAGCTAGACATATAAAGACCTATTATCTTCTTCCTCGAAGGCTTTGTGAAGAGTGTAAGTTTGAGGAAGCTAAAATAAGGTTAAACTTTTGATGAAGTTTGATACGCATTCTTGCTAAACTTAATCAGAATAGTCTGACACAAACATTTTTTTTTAATTTCTTAATAGATACTTATAATTGGCATCTCTCCTTTCTTTGAGGCTTCCCATTCCCATTTTGAGGAGGATGTGATGTTGTGGCAAGCTCACTTGACATTTAATATTGCATGCTTCGGTGAGACGATGCATGTAAGTTTGTGTGATGTGGGATCAAATATCGTGTTTGATTGATGGGATTACATATTAAAGATTGGAAGGATCATTTTTGTTGTTATTCTTATCAAATGATTTATTGATGGCGATCCTTAACGACGGTGTTCTTTGATGATATTGTTAAAATTGAAGAGAATGTCCTTGGATGTCTGTAGGTGCAAACTGATACGAATGTCATGTGAAGGAGATCAAGTCTCATAAAGTTGGATTACAAGTTGAATTATTAGATCAAACTTCATGTTATAGTTGCTTGAATTTGGATACTTGTGTAATTAAGTTTTTTTTAGAAGTTTTAGCTTCTAATTTTGATAGTTTTTTTTTTGGAATTAGCTTTTTAGATTTTATTTCTCGGGATTGGTATTGTAGATGGTTATTTTCTTTTTCAGAAATTTGCATATATACTACAAAATTCTTATGAATTTACAAATCTGACACCTAAAGTTTGATATTTACATTTATACCACTCTGAAGCTATAAACTTGTGCATAAAAGATGTGAATTTGACTTTTGGAATACAACTAAAATATGTGGTTTTGATGTGATGTTAAAGATTTCAGTGTGATGAATGTAAATATTAAAGTTTAGTTGTTATATATGTAAATACATGAGAATTTTTTGTTATGTATACAAATGCTCTTTCCTGTTTTGGTTTGAGTTTGCTTATGAGTATATCAAATCCTTATAGATATTATAAATTTCTATTTAAATGAGTCTGCTTATGCATGTGAAAATGGACAACAAAGCTTGCGACTGAATTTAAATGAGTCTTTGAGAAATACATATTTAAAAAATATTATATATATATATATAAGTTGGTATTATTATAATAAGAATTAAATTACATAAAGTCTACATTATTAATTTTTTATTTTACTTGTAAATTTATTAACTTTTTTCTTTTTCTTTAGCATTTTTGGGGTTCACTGTTAAGTGAGTGGTATATGAACTTTATGTTATTTTAGAAATGAATTTCTGCTTCAGAAGTTTCAAAAATGTTATTGTTACAATCTTCTTTTAAATAGTTTTACCAAACGAGGGCACCATAGAATTTTTTTTCAAAAACAACTACCCCGCAGTTGTTGTCACACAGCTACACCAAACAGGTAGTCAGTTTCCCTGCAGCAACTTCCTGGGGCAGCGCAGCAGCAGCTGAAAAACTGAGAAACTACAGCTGCCCTAAACAGACCCTTAGCATGTCTTCTGATTGTTTTTTTCAAAACAAAAATTTATAGTAGTCTCTGTAGTTTTTTAAACATTAATTTTTTTTGTTCCTAAAAATATTGTGATGCTCAACTCTTAAGAAAGGCAGTAGGGTCAAGCCATTGCTATCATTCAATTCACCCTCTCCAACTTCGTGAGAAAGCTCGCAGCAAGCCATTGCTCTCATTCCTGTATTTTTTGTGTCGCCACCTTGGTGAGAAAGCCCACAGCGAGCAGTGCTTTCATTTACGTTGTCCTCTCACGAGAAAGATTTCACGTATCTTGCATTCCTCTCAAGGTGATTCTCTCCTTCTCATAATTTCTTTATTTCCTTCATAAGCATCAATGACAGAGGGGTCGATTGTCTTCTCGTCTCTCCACCAAAGCCTCCATCTTCCTTCTAGGCTATGTCACTATCTAACTCATCTAGTGGGTGGATGTTGAGTCTATACTTCAGTGCTTGGTTACAAAATTCTAACTGATTGCTCTTATAAAAATTACATGCATGTCATTGAAAAAATCTTCAAGCTCGAATTTTGTCATCTTCAAAGGGAATACATGTATTTGAAATGTTGGTACGTCACCAAATAGGCAACAACGTTTATGTTGCACGACTCTTTTATGTTATTTGTTTTCTATTTTATGTATTTTTGGAAGAGGCAATGATGATTAGTTTCTCTCTATCCATAACTTGAAGAAATGCAAATGTACAGGATGAGCTTAATATGCTATGACACTGTGCAAATTATATTTTAGACGTCCATGTCTTATTTTTTGTTGTTGTTTGGGTATATGTTTGGGCTCTTAGAATTCCTACTTAGCTATTATAAACGAGTTTTATGTTTGTTATGGGTCAATTCTTTAGAAGGAATGGTAAATTTTTTGTTAATATACTAATAAAATCTTCTCTAATTTTCAAATATTTTTAAGTGCGAACTCTTATAAGGTAGTTACCCTTTTTAACAATGAGAATAATTAAAGCAGGTCATAAAGTGCTAAGTGATTAGTTTATGGTAGCACAAGCAAACTGTAGCTTTTTTTCGCCTTTTTTTAACCCATAATGTAGTTGGGCATTGTTGGATACAAGCTCAAATTAGACTGGAGAAAGGTAGGGGTTGTTAGGCTTCATTATACTTAGAAATT